AAGTAATCTCTACACCCAACATGCTGCTTGAACTCACAACCCTGAGATCAAGAGTCTCATGCTCTACGGACTGAGCCAGCCAGGTGCCCCCAGGTCCACAATTCAATCGACAGCTCCAAAATCTAAAGAGCTCTGGAAATTACAAATTCTTTCATAACTCATGGTCTGAATTAACACAAAGCTCTACAGAGTCTTTATTTATCCCATTAAATGTGAAATAGTTACAAGTTTCCCCTGAGACCAATAAATGGTTTGATTACAGGGTGCTGGCCCACACCATGCTGGAGGTTACCTGTACCTTATGACCTTTCTAAACCCCGAATGGCAAAAACATTTCTGGTCCAAGATCTCCAGGTAAGGTGTGCATTGCCTGTGCAGATAACCACTCCCATCTATTGAACGGTAACCCTGGATACTTAGCCCACCTTCCCTTCGCTCTCGAGTGGCAACTCCAGAGTGTGTAGTATGTGAGCTATAGGACCCTGAGAAAGTGCCCAGGAGGTACATGGCTGGCATGGGGGACCCCATGGGACAGATTTCACAATGTAACTCTGAGGTTAGGTTATCCATCAACAATGTCAGAGAAAGGCCTGGAAATCTATTCTATTAAGGATTTCACCAATTCCCCCACAAGGGAAGAGAAATCAAATGAGAGATATTCCAAAAAAGGGAAATTTGTTTGTCTCGGCTGGTAGTTGAGGTTCCTTTAGGGGAATCACCCCCGTTGGGGCCAGGAAAAGAAGGAAGCAAGTTCCCAGCTGCTAAGGACATCCTTGGACCCAGAATTGCCTTAGTAGGGTGGTGAAGTCGCCTGGGCTGATGGGTCATTTGGGGAAAGTAGGTGATTAGGACAGGGAAGATCTGGGCCCCTCTTTGGAGGGGAAATGGAGAGCCATGGCCTTGACAAGCCCCGGGACACTTAATGTGTCCTTGCCCCAGGCACTTACTGAACAGGACCTGCCTTCCTGGGCCACATGGCAGAGGAAGGCATGACGCAGCTTGGGATGACCCCAGGCACACTTAGGTTAACACAGCGTGGGCTTCCTGATCCTATCATCAGGCAGACCTTGGAGGCTGTGGTCAGCCACAAGGCTGGTTTAGAAGCCATAGGAAAGGGGACAATAGAGGGGAATTAGCTTCTCAGAATAATGTCTTTGGCTAACTTACACTCAGCTGAGCTCAGGCAATTTTGTAATCTGCTTGTAATTTGTACTCAACACACTTAGTAAAATAGCCATCTGGTTCACATAATATTCGATGCTATGTGGTTTGATGTGAGAAGACACTTTTACCAGCGGTTAAAGCCCTTCAAATTTTTCACCCTTGACAGAGAAGACAAAGAGACATGTGGTTATTATGTTATAACCACACAGTATCAAAGGTTACTTGGCTAAGTGTGAAAGTAACAGTAAGCACTGCGAACATCAAGAAACTCAGGAAACTATTCCTCGAAGCCTGATCACTTCCAGCACTGCTTAAAAATCAGAGAGGTCAAGGTCCTATGCTCTTTCGCATGCTGAAAAACCCTCTCAGGGTGGCAAGAAATCAGTCCCTGTCTCATTCTGAGACCGATGCATGCCAACGGCCCCAGTAACTTTACATCACCAAATATTTATTGAGAAATGATAAGGCACGTGACATTCCGCAGGGTATAAAATGATACCCCAGACTCTGCCTCCAGGGTCCTGCAACCCACAGGAGCATAGGACGGGAACACCAGTGATGCCAAGACAAGGCAGAGGAGGAGGGAGGCAAAAGCGATTCTTAGAAAGAGGAGGCTGGTCGGCAGGGTCAACGGCTGCAGGGGGGAGAGTGGGAGAGGTTGGACCAAAGCCCCAGGGGTAGGGTGGCTGGGGACAGCAGTGGCTTTGCGAGAGCTGCATGTGAAGCCAAATCAAGAGAGATTAACCAGTGAGTGGGTGTGAGGAAGCTGGGAGCAGTGTGGTGATGAAACGTGGGGGGAATGGGGGAGGTGAGCTGAGGAAGTGGGAGGGGCCAGAGGAAATTTGTGTTGATTTTTTTCAGGTAGGGAGACCTGAGCATGTGTATAGGTGAGGGGAAGGTGCCGGCAGAGGAGGGAGGAAAGATCAGGGGGGTGACAGTTGACCGCCTTGCTCTCTCTGTGCCCCGTGTGCAGACCTAGCGCCCAGCTCAACTGCGGGAGCACAGCAGATCATCACCTTTCCTGGCTTGAGGACGACTGTTTGACTTGTGTTTGTTCTATAATGAGAACATCTTCTTCTTTTTTAAACTCTATGCCCAATGTGGGGCTCAAACTCACAACCCCAAGATCAAGAGTCACATGCTCTACTGACTGAGCCCGCCGGCGCCCCCATAATGAAAACATCTTGGTATTTTACTTGTGAGGTTAAAAACAACAGCCGGGGGCATGGGGGCGGCTCAGTCGGTTGAGCCTCCGACTCTCGGTTTCAGATCAGGTCAGGATCTCAGGGTCATGAGACTGAGCCCCACGTCAGGCTCCGCGCTCTGCGGAGAGTCTGCTGGGGATTCTCTCTCCCTCTGCCCCTCTCCCTGCTCCTTCTCTCCCTGTCTCTCAAATAATAAATAAAATAAACATCTTCTTAAAAATTAAAAATAAAAATAAAACAACAGCCAGAACAAGCATTTGCTGAGGTCTGTCTTGGTTCCTGGAGGGGTTTAGGGCAAGTCATTAGCCAATGTTGTGGCTCAAATATACCCCGCTCTGGGTGTTACAGAAGACTGATGAAATCACTGAACTCTACCTCTGAAACTCATAATACACTGAATGTTAATTCACTGAATTTAAATTTAACAAATAAAATAAATGAAATACAATGTACCCTCAGGGTCTGGGTGTGCCAGGGACCAAGGCATTTCCTCAGAGAGGAGCGGACTTTCAATGTGGGAACTGGGCAAGTCCCTGGTAAACTGGCATGGGTTGGTTGCCCTTTCTTGTGCTCTGATTAAAGAAGGCACTCGGGGGCGCCTGGGTGGCTCAGTTGGTTAAGCGACTGCCTTCGGCTCAGGTCATGACCCTGGAGTCCCGGGATCGAGTCCCGGGATCGAGTCCCGCATCGGGCTCCCTGCTCGGCGGGGAGTCTGCTTCTCCCTCTAACCCTCCCCCCTCTCATGTGCTCTCTCTCTCTCATTCTCACTCTCTCAAAAATAAATAAGTAAATCTTTGAAAAAAAAAAAAAAAAAAGAAGGCACTCGGAAGTCAAGGCCTGTCCCGTCCCAGGGGACAATCTCAGGCTCTCTTAGCCATGTAGCATGTTACAGAGATGTGTGACGCGGCCCCTGGGTGCCAGGGGAAGAGGCTGGATTTTAAGACTGGTGAAGGTGGCACACGCCTAGATCAGGAGCTGTCTGCAGCTTCTCCTTTTGGAGTAGAAATTGAAACTTCCTTTGAGGTCCACTTGGAGGTCGAGGGCTAACCTCACGAGCCGCCCCTGACGTTGCATAGGTATAAGGCAGCTCCCCAAGGATTATGCCGATGGTGGTGGTGGGAGCTTGACAGGACCTTTTAGTCTAGACAGGGTCCTGGGGCTTAGGTGCAGCCGGTGAATGAAATTCGGAGATGCCTCCACCTGGATATGCAAACAGACTGATTAATTTACTGAGATGCCAAGGAGGCTTCTAGAAAGAGTGAGTGGGCCTCTCTACTCCTTTGCTTTGAAGTTCAGTGTCCCTGGAGTGCATCTGGATGGATGCAGGCAGAGGGAGCTCGACTGAGGCTAGTGGGAAAAGGAACATCAGAGCTCTGGGGTTCGGAACTGTGGGCCCAGAGCCTAAGCCATTTGGGAGGAATGTTAGCCTGTGAGGGACTTGGCCATCAATGAATGATGGGGTGCCTTCCAAAGTGAGCAGCTAAAGCACTCTTCATAACAGCCCCGACGTGGTGACAAGCCAAATGTCCAACAACTTAGGAATGGGTCAACAAACCATGGTATATCCACTTCACAGAAATTATTCAGCAGTTAAAAAAACAAAAAAAAAGAAGTGCTAATACACGCTACCACATGGATGAGCCTTGAAAACCCTGCGCTCAATGAAAGAAATCAGTCCCAGAATGTCAACACGTGGTATGATTCTCTTTCTGTGAAATATCCAGAACAGGGAAACCGATAGATGGAAAATAGGTGACTAGATGCCAGGGGCCAAAAGGCAGGAAATGGGGAGCGACTGCTAGTGGGTACAGAACATCACTTTCAGGGTCCCACAAGGGTGTCCCCTAGGGTCATGCAGTTTAATCCCTGTGTGCCCATCATCCATCCACGTCCTTTATGCTTCAAGACCAGATATTTGGGAAGCAGTCTCTGAGGCCGGGGCAGGGTGAGGAGGGGGAACCCAGGCAGAAGCAGCCAGAGGAGGATCACATAGTCGGGGTTCTCAGAGCCCTTAGTCCCCTTTGCCCAAATGTGGGTATTTTGGGTCACAGGGCTGGTTGTTGCCCCGGGGTTTTGGTTTCCTGTCTCTTGGCAAGCTTCGGTTTGCCATCCTGTTGTGCGAGGTGGAGAGAGTCATAGCTGGGGGCGTAGGAAGCCTAGACCCGGCCCAGCTCAGTGTTTGTGATTCTGGCTGCACTTTAGAAACACCTGCGTGTGTTTAAAGACTAGCAATGCTCAAGGCTTGTCCCTAGAGCCTCTGGGTCAGCTGGGGAGGAGGGTGTGGTGGGATGGCCCTCCTTGACCATGCAGCCAGGATGAGGACCCCTCTTCTGCAGAAAACGATATTACGCAATAGATCATAGAATATCCAGGCAAAAATGGAAGGGAAGAGTGTTAGAGAGACATAGTGGGTAGTAATTAAAATAAACATTATGTTACTTTCCTGGATTTTGTGATCTCCAGGATGGTTTTGTTGTTGTTGTTGCTGCTGCTTTTTTGTTTTTTAAATATTTTATTTATTTATTTGACAGAGAAAGTGAGAGAGCACAAGCAGGGGGGAGCAGCAGAGGGAGTGGGAGGACCAGACTCCCTGCTGAGCAGGGAGCCCTACATGGGACTGGATCCCAGGACCCTGAGATCATGACCTGAGCCAAAGGCAGACGCTTAACAGACTGAGCCACCCAGGCACCCCGATATCAGGATACTTGACCTTTTCTGAGATTTGTGGCTTGTGATTTTATTTTCTCCTTCCACATATTCACTTTCATACCTAATTTTGTATTCTTTTTCTTAAAGAGGGACTCCCAGCATTGTTTAAGGTTTATGCCCCACAAGACTTGGATCTGCCCCTTGGCTAAAGGCTCACAGGTTCAGGTAAACATTTTTGGTAAGAATCCTTCATAGTTTTACATCACATCACTGCTTCTGTAAAGCTGGGTGTCTCACATTTAGTGATGATGAATAATTTAGGGTGGTGACGGCCGGACCTGTCCAGTGTAAAGATCCATTTTTCCCATTGGAGTTAGTAAGCAAACAGTGAAGTAGTATGTTGTCTCTGTGTAACTATTCTGTCTCCCAACTTTTCAGGGAATGGCTTTAACGTCCATTGATGAACCTTTCCTGAATCTGTTCTTCCACCGGGAGTTGCAAAAATGCTAATTTTATGATTGTTTCATGAATTTTGCCATTATTGGCTGGAATTCTTCTATGAAGAAAACCTTCCCTAATAAATTTCACAGGTGATATTAATGTCAACCCACCAGTTTAGAAGCATTGACCCAGGCCAACAGACCCATTTACAGGTAAGAAATACTGAGGTTCAGGGAGGTAAAAAGATTTGCTGAAATCACACGGTCACTAGCAATAAAAGGCTACTTTTTTTTTAAGTACCAAAAAAGAAAAATCTTTATTTTGAAACGACTCTGCAACACCAGAGCAGGGCATCATAAACTGTCACTGTTTTATAACACCTGTCGACATTTCCTAGAACAAGACACAGTGTGGGAAATAGGACCAGTCTTTGGGAAACATTCGAAGGCTTTCCATTTCAGCCAGGAACTAAATTAACTAACTCCCTGTTGTCTCACTGCAATTACTTAGCATGGCTCTTAGCATGGAAGTTCTGGCTAATAAAGATAAGAAATAAAGAAGAGGTATTATCAGAAATAAGAATATAAAATCATCACTGTCTGTATATAGTGTAATCGTTTTTCTAGAACAGGAGTTCTCAAACCTTTTGGTCTCAGGACCCCTTTACGGAACTCTTAAAATTTGCTGAGGACACCAAACAACTTTTGTCTATGTGGGTGATATAGATATAGATATTTCTCATACTAGAAATTAAGACTGAGAAAAAAATTTGTTTATTTATTTATTTTTAAAAGATTTTATTTATTTATTTGAGAGAGAGAGAATGAGAGATAGAGAGCACGAGAGGGAAGAGGGTCAGAGGGAGAAGCAGACTCCCTGCTGAGCAGGGAGCCCGTTGCGGGACTCGATCCAGGGACTCCAGGATCATGACCTGAGCCGAAGGCAGTTGCTTAACCAACTGAGCCACCCAGGCGCCCGAGAAAAAATTTAAAATATTTACTTATTAATTAATTCAAAAGTAACAAAACAATTACATGTCGATGCAACTCTTTAAATGAAAAACATTACATTTTCTCAAACAAAAAAGGCATTTGGTGAGAAAAGTGTTTTTCTTTTGCAGCTTTATAAATCTCTTTAACCTGTGGTCTACTGGCAGGCTCTGCACTCAGCAGATGCAACATCACACACTGCAGTTACTAGAAAATTCCACTGCACACTTGTGAGTGAATGAGAGTGAAAAAGGCAAATAACCTTTTGGTATGATTGTGAAAATAAATAATTTTGACCTTGCAGACCCCCTGAAAAAGTTCCTGGGACCACACTTTGGGAACTGCTGTTCTGGAACATTTGAGAGGCTGAGCTAAACGTTTTGCTAGTATCATTTACCTTGGTAAAGTGGCTGGATACATGATAAATATAGGAAAACCAGTCATTTTCCCACATATCAGTTTCTCTGCAATGTCCTATGTCCACTCGTGCCTGTATGTGTGTGTGTTTGTGTGTGTCCCCATTGTGTTACCTTTACAGCAAATCTGAAATCTCAACAATCCACAGGTTCTTTTGGCTTATGTTGCTGGGAGGCCTGGCTTTTCAAGGGTTTCTTTTCCCTTGGCGTTCCTTCAAGAGCTTCTGGATGGGGAAAGAAGGGCAGACAGGATGGGAAAGCAGAAAAGGAGGGTCCTCACATATCGTCAGAGCTGTGCTTGCCGCACGCAGCCCTACCATGTGGTGTTCTCCCTCCCTTCAAGTCGTCTCCCCCAGCTGAGCTGCTCGCACTGCTGCTGACATCCCAGACCTCTTGGCCAGGCCTTTCAGAGAGCTTCCCCACAGTCTCTCTGCGCTGCTTGATCTTCCCATGCTCTCTGAGCACTGGGGGAAGCAGGTGACTGAGAGAGGTTGGCCCAAGTGAAAGTCAGGAGGGGTGCCTTCTTAGTTTTCAGACTCTGCCACCCTATTTGTCACCCTGGCCCACTAGCCAGACCTCTGTGTTCATGGAGAGTTTCTCAAAGGGGCAGGGTTTCCTCTCCCTCCAGCTCAGCTCCCTTCCAGGAGCCGCCATCTGAGGGGAGGATATACACAGTTGGGTCCCTGGGCCTCATGTGAATTGGTCGGTACAACCACTTACCCTAAAAGCAATCAGAAACATTGGCAAAATTGGAGAAGTAGAGAAGTCAGCAGTGCCAGGAAGACGGGGGGGAGAACAAGTAAGGAGAGGGCAGGTCGATGTAAGGATGTCCTTCAGAGCATAAAGGGAGACCCAGTCCCTTCCAAGGGACGTGTGGCTCTGTGGCTAAATCTAAAAAGGGTGTTTTTTAGCCCCTTCTTTCCCAAAGCTGTCAGCATTTTCAGTGTCATCCAAATTTATAGGAAAAAACTTGCGGGGCACCTGGCTGTCTCAGTCGGAAGAGTGTGCGACTTTTGATCTTGGGGTCGTGAGTTTGAGCCCCATGTTGGGTGGAGAGATGACTAAAAATAAATAAATAAACGAACTTAAAAAAAAAGGTAAGAAAAAACCTGTCACCTTTGTAAACAGAAACAGAGCTGTGTTTTTTTAGAGATTATTTTCTGTGCCCATCAGGATTTTGTCTGCGGTCCTACTTCCCAAGTGTCTACGAACTTTGTCCGGCTTATGTTGAAATACGGTGGAGCCTGGTCTTGTCTCAGCTCTGTAATTCTCTCTCGTTTGGATGTTTCTCATGAAATAGAAATATTTTTGCATATTAACACCTCATTTATTGCCCAATTTATTTTTATTTTTTTAACACGGTACTTTATTTTTTTTTAATTTTTTAAAAGATTTTATCCATTTATTTGTCAGAGAGAGAGAGAGGGAGAGCAAGCAGAGGGAGAAGCAGGCAGAGGGAGAAGCAGGCTCCCCACTGAGCAAGGAGCGTGACGCAGGGCTCTATCCCAGGACCCTGGGATATGATCTGAGCTGAAGGCAGATGCTTAACTGACTGAGCCACCCAGGCATCCCTGCCCAATTGATTTTTAAAACATAGCTTCATTAGGTATAATTTATATATCACAAAACACCCATCTTAAGTGTACAACTCAATAATTCCTAGTAATTTTATAGAGTTGTGCAACCATTGTAACAATCCAGAACATTTGCCAGTTTTCGTTTAACTCTTAAAACCACCTTAAGTACAATTAGCATTAGAGAAAATATGGATGTCTACTTAAAAAAAAAAACAAACCCTGAAATTTGAAAGTATTTTTTTTTAAGATTTTATTTATTTGAGAGAGAGAGTGAGAAACAGAGCACAAGGGGGTGGGGCAGAGGGAGAGGGAGAAGCAGACTCCCTGCTGAGCAGGGAGCCTGACAGGGGGCTCAATCCCAGGACCCTGGGATCATGGCCCAAGCCGAAGGCAGATGCCCAACCGACTGAGCCACCAGGAGCCCCTGAAAGTATTTTTAAAGTGGTGTGTTTTTTTTTTCTTTTAGTGGCAGTAGGTCAACCTAGCCAATTGAACTCTTATTTTAATGAATCTCTCAACTGTTCAATAATTTATCAACCATGTGATGGTTAATTTTATGTACCAACGTAGTGAGAGAGGTTATGTTTTTTGCCCGAGTTCACACAGCCACTAGGTGGTAGAGCTGAAATTTGAAGCTATCCCTTTGAGACACTGTTTAGTGCCTAATTGTAAAACTTAGCATTGTACCACATCAACAAGAAGTACTTGGTGATAATTCTAAATTATTTATTCCCATGCTCTAGGATGGTGAGCTCAATAATTTCATTTTTCTTATGGCAGTTAAATTTTTGCTTTTTAAGTTCCACGCTTGAAAAAAAATAAGTGTCCCTGCATGAGAGGAAGTGTAACTAGATATTGCATGCTTCGTCAAGGGGAAATTTTTGAAGTAACAGACACTATACATTTGAGGAAGTGGGTTAACAGGCTTAAGGGCCAAATATCGACCAATGGAGAATCATAGAAATTTGCATTTCTCCATTATAATAGTTTAGAACCAAAGGAACAACACTGACAGTGTTACACATCCTACATTTGCAATCAGTCTAGGTCAATGATGCTTGAACTTGGTAATGAATTGACCTGCACAATGTGGGACACACAATACACATGCCAGGGGTTGGTAGGATGAATGAATGCACTCAGCCTTCTTGTTTTTTCAACTTCCTTTCCCTGAAATGACAAACAGCAACGGGACTGGGAAGACCCAGGCTTCAGTTCATGCATTTACTGTTGATGATTATCATCGTAAAGATGTGTGTTACAGGAAGTGGATACCAGTCACAGCTGGTACAGGGCCAGTTACAGAAAGGAAGGTTTAGGGCACAACCCCAGTCTAGTTTTAGAGGAAAACAAATACACAAGACTGATGCTTCATTTCCAATTCTTCTCTTAAAAAAAAAAAAAAATCAAACCTCATTTATGATTTTCCATCCAATTATAATTTTAATGAAATCAAATGAATCCTTCCTGGTCAGGGTAACCATGTGCTTGAACCATGTAAGTAATTGGTCATTTAAGATGAATTCTCCCACCTTCTAAGCCTATAGACTTGTTGACCACACCATGTAGACATGGCTAGGTTCTCTGCTCAGCATATGATGACGTTGAAATCAAAGTGTTGGCTGGACTGAGTTCTCATCTGTAGGCTCTGGAGGGGGCGGGGAGATCCTCCTCAAAGCTCGTTCTCGTTGGCAGAATTCAGTCCTTCAGGACTGAGGACCTGAACCTTATTTACATGTTGACTCTCAACCAGTGGCTACCAGCCACCCAAATTCCTTGTGTGTGGCTCCCTGCATCTTCAAGCCAGCAAAAGGTGTGCTGAATCCTCACGCTTCAAATTTCTGACTTCCTCTTCTGAGATGAGCCAGGGAAAACTCTAAGCTCTGAAAGGGCTCCTGTGATTAGGTCAGGCCCAAACTCCTTATCTCAAGGTCAACGGTGCTATCTAATCTAATCTAATCATGGGAGTAAAATCCATTATATTCACAAACCTGGGGATTATACAAGCTGTTGACTCCATTGTGGGAGTATTGGGCACCATCTCTGAATTCTGCCAACCACACCCGGCCTCAAGAATGATCTGGCCATGGCCAATCTTGTTTCATCTTGCTGCAGAATGGGTTCCCTGGGAAGCAGGCTCAGAGACGAAGGGAAGCTAGCAGGAAGTTTAGTGGGAGTGTTGGCAGGATCGACTCTGTGCAACGGAGGGCTCTGAAGCTGGGATGGTCCTTCAGAGGTATTCCAAGGGGGGGCAACCCCGTGGGGCATGGCCAAGACCCTGGATGTGGGCTGCCCCAGGCAGGGATTCACCGGGGGCTCTCCCTGAAGATATGACAGTGGCAGGGTATGTCTTGGCAACACTTCAGGAGGTGAGGGAAGGAACTCTTCATTTCTGATCGGCGCATTACACTGACTGCATTGCACTATGGTTCCGAGCCTCTCTGGTGCATCCAGTATGATTTTGAGGTAGAGTCCAGATATCCTATCATTTCATCTATAAACAGTTCCCTATTGCTTCCTCTGTAGACATTTCACTATGTGTCATTGTAAGCAAAAAGCGAGGGGCCCCCAGAAAAAAGAAAGACGAGATCCAGCGTTAGTGACAACAGAGAAATCATTTTAGGCCCCCGCCTGTTTCCCCCCTCCTCCCCAAGTGATCTGTGCCCCATTGATCCCAGCCCCCTTCCTGCAGAACTTCCTAGGAGGTGTCAGAATTACAAAGAAATGCACACACCTCAGTAGTTAAGGATTAGCTCCCCGGAAGGAAGGGAATGTAAAACCTACCAGTCTCTACCAGGTCAGGAAATAGCCCAACCAGATGGGAAACAAGAGATCAGTGATAAGAACTCCCAGTGCTATAGTAAAAGTGAGCAAACCCTGGGATCCTTACCCAGGATAATGAGCCCAAGACCGCGTCCCACATAGACAGCTGTCAGAGCGGGCCCAGAGCCCCTTCTCCTTGTCCAATAGTTACTGCTGCTTCATTGTAATGTTAAAATCTCCACCTGGGGAGGAGCACAAGCCTCCCTCTCAGAACATAATGTATATATAGGCATGTTTCCTTAAGATGTGCGAGTGACCCTACGCCCTCTACACAGGGTGACAAAACTCCCCTAACCCTAAATAAAAGGAACTCACTCACCCCTGTTCCAGGAGTCATAGCCGTGGAAGTTTTTCCCCGTGATTTCATTATTTGCTGCAGATAAAGTGTCCTTTGTGTGATGACTCCACCCGACGTGGTCCCTACATGTGACTCACCAAGGAACCAACTCATGTGAGTTCCATCACGTCTTCAAAATCCACAGAACTGTGATGTGATCTCACCCCAAAATAAATTAGTATTTCATACGATAAAAATGCAGTCAGTGCTAAAACTTCTTACTGTCTCATAAGTGTCACAACTCTCCCTCTCACCCTGCTTTTCTCCTTCTCCGAAGTTTGCTTGTTTAAATCAACATGCAAAATTGATGAACTGTCTCTTTTTTTCCTTGCACTTGACTTGTTAAGGAGAGCAGATCCCTTGCTCACGGGCTGGACTTTGCTCATTGTATCCGCAATGCTGTCATATGGCAGGTTTCTCTGTTCCTCGTGTTTCCTGTCAGTTGGTCGTTCATTGGATCTAAGGTTTGATCATATCAGGACTGATTTTTTGGCAAGACTACTCCAAAGATGGTGACATACTCCTCTATCATGAAGTGCATAAGGTTGGGGAGTGATGTCGTTCTGGAATGTGGGTGAGGTCTGAAGCCATTGGCCAAGAAAGAATTCTTGGGACGTCTTTGGTGCAAAAAGGTGATTTTATGAAAGCCCGGGGGGACACAACCCGTGGGCAGAAAGAGCTGCTGCCTGGGGGTGGGGGGTGTGAGGGGTGACTGATTATATACTTGGGTGTTGGGAAGGTAAGGATGAAGGGAGGTGTCCAAAAGGACTTTCATCTGCTAAAGAAGGCCCTCCGGATACTGGAGGCCTGGCTCTTGTCACGTTAAGGTTGTTTTTTTCTTCTAGTAAAGCAGTAACACTGAGACAGCTGAGAGCTTTCTGGAAGCATGTCACACTCTGCCCACCTCAGGTCCTTGTCAATGGGCTGCAGGTCATAAAGAAACCTAATTTTGTATCCTTTCCCTTCTTGCCTCTGGTTCCCACATCACTCATGGAGGGGAGGGTGATGTGGGGGCTCCAGGAAATTGAGTTATGGGTCTCTAGAAGTTAGACTATTGATAAGAACGGTTTTTCCTTGTCAATCACTAAGATTCTACTGGTAAACTGAGGGAGACTCCTGCCTTGCAGGACTGTGATCTCTACTAGTTAACTGTTTGTTTTTCCTTCCCTTTGCTTTAGGGCAGCCAGGAGTGCTTGAGGAATGTGACACGTACCCCACCTGGGAGTGTTTGGGGGGTGGAGGTTGCGAGGTGTCACCCTGTGCTTTGTCCCAGCTTGCCTTCTGCTCCCTCATCAGGTAGTTGTCTTCTTTTGTGATGTTAGCAGCTGTTGATGCTTAACATCTGACCAGAAATAAGTTTTGATGAAGGTTCACTCAGTAGCTTCTGACCTGTAGCTCAGAATTCAAAGACTCAAGTGGCAGTGACTCAGCAAACCTCTGACGAGGAGTTTCCTCCCGTCGCAAAGCATCACCCCATCATATGGAAAGCAAGGTCAGAGAACGTGTGGGACTCTGTCTTTTATCAGGCAATAAGTAACATACATTCGCACCTACCTGCACTAATGGAAGGAAGCAGCTCCAGCCATTTCCTCAAGAGATGTATTTCTAATGAAATTTTACTTTTTTTTTTAAAGATTTTCCTGTGTCTTTAATAGGGCTTAATAATGTTATAAGTGAGTCCTATCCACCAATTGGTGCATGTTTTATCCACTTATTTTTTTTAAAGTAATCTCTACCCCCAATGAGGGCTTGAACCCACGATCCCAAGATCAAGCATCACAAGCTCTGATGAGGGAAAAGAGCAGAAGCTGACACCCCACAACCCCCACAACATGAAGATACAATTAAATGTCCTTATAACCTGCAGCTCATTGACAGATACTTGAAGAGGACAGAGTGTAATGTTCCTCCTGGAAGCTCCCAACTATCTTCATGTTAACGCCTTACCAGCAGGGTAAACAACCTTCACTTGACAATGGCAAGGCCTCCTGGTATCCTAGGAGTCTTCTTTAACATATCAAAGTACTTTCTTGAAACCTCCCTTTTTCCTTACCTCCCCCAACCCTCTAGTATATCATCAGCCACCCCTCACAACCCCAGGACAGCAGCTCTTTCTGCCCACGGGTGAGCATGGGGACACATGCTTTAATAAACCACCATTTTGCACCAAAGACATCTCAAGAATTCCTTCTTGGTAGTCAGTTCTGGACCTCACCCCACCCAACCTCATCTGTATTCCAAAACCCCATCAGTTCCACCAGGCACCCCTGAAACTTTGTTTCTTACGCTTAGAAATGATGCATCAAATGTTGTGAGCTAGTTAGGGTTTGATCAAGTGTATATTACTAATAATGGCAATGATAATTCAGTCCAGGAGAAAGTTGTGTTGTTGTTCTTAATTTGTAAAACTTATTTATTTATTTAAGATTTATTTATTTATTTATTTGAGACACAGAGAGAGCATGCTCTTTCCCTCACTGTCTCTCTCTCTCTCTCAAATAAATAAATAAATAAATAAATAAATAAATAAATAAAATTTTAAAAAAATGTGTAAGGGAGTATATGGACTTCAAAAATCCTTCTAGGGGACACACAGGCAAAATGTTTAAAACACCACTGTCTTCCTAACGTTCAATTTATTTATTTATTTTTTATTTATTTTTATTTTTTTAAGATTTTTATTTATTTGAGAGATAGAAAGCACGAGAGGGAAGAGGGTCAGAGGGAGAAGCAGACTCCCTGCTGAGCAGGGAGCCCGACGTGGGACTCGATCCCGGGACTCCAGGATCATGACCTGAGCCGAAGGCAGTCGCTCAACCAACTGAGCCACCCAGGCGCCCCCTACGTTCAATTTAACCATCCTTCTTGTCAGCCTAAACACTGGCATTTCTGTTTCTTCACTATCTAAGAAGAATGGGGAAGTACTTGTTTTGCATTCATATCAACGAAAGCCTGTGTGACTAACTGCATGCTTGCTTTCAAAAGAGATTTACATATAATAAATCTTGTAATAAGACATGTCTATACTTGTATTCTGGGCAGCTCAAATAATGGCGGAGAAGAGAACAGATCCCCAGTAGAGAAAGGAAGAAAGAATGTATCAGGAACCGAAGATGGAGTGGTGACTGTAAGTCTGCCCTAAATTTCTGTTTTATTAAGTAATGGCAGGGCACCTGGGTGGCTCAGTAGGTTAAACGTCTGCCTTCTGTTCAGGTCATGATCTCAGGGTCCTTGGATTGAGCCCCACATCGGGTTCCCTGCTCAGTGGCGAGTCTGCTTCTCCCTTTTCCTCTGCACCTCCCCCTGCTTGTGCTCTCTCTCTCAAATAAATGAATAAAATAAAAATAAAATCATGACTGTTTTTCATTGATTAGCCTTTAATCTTGAAATATCTAAGTTTGTTTCGTCTCTATTTCAACTCACTTTGTGTATGATTCAGATGATTTTCCCAAATCTGACTCTTAAATCCCACTGTCAGAAAGAAATAAAATACAAAGAATGTCCCATAAAAGAACATGTAATAATGTGAAGGTTTGCTCTTCATCAATAAAAGCCAAAATATGGACAACTAGACTTGCAAAATTGCAACACTGTGATTGAAATCTTTGAAATAAAAAAAATCACACAAGAATTCTAAATCCTCATTTCCAAAACATAGATAATTCTTTTTTTTCAAAAAAAAAAAAACTGTGGTAAAAACGCATAGCATAAAACTTACCATCTTAACTATTTTTAAATGTACAGCTCAGGGGTGTTAACTATATTCATGTTGTTGTACAACAGAGCTCTAGAACTTCTTCATCTTGCAAAAGTGAAACTCTGTACCTATTGAACAGCAATTCCTCATTTTCCCCTCCCCATAGCCTCTGACAACCACCATTCTTTGTTTCTTTCTTTCTTTTTTAGTAATCTCTACACCTCAATGTGGGGCTCGAAATTATGACCCCAAGATCAAGAGTTGGATGTTCTATGGACCGAGCCAGTCAGGCACCCCCCCATTCTTTGTTTCTATTAGTCTGACATTTTTAGAGACTTCCTATGAATGGAATCCTAGAGTATTTTGTCTTTCTGTCACTGGTCTATTTCACTTAGTGTAATGTCCTCAGGTACATCCATGTTGTAGCATGTGACAGGATTTCCTTTTTAAAGGCTGAATAATATTCCATTGCATGTATATACATTTTCTTCATCTATTCATCCATCAGTGGACATTTAGGTTGCTTTTATCTCTTGGCTATTGCGAATAATACTGCAATGAATGTGGGTGTGCTCTCTGTCTCCAAGATCCTGTTTTCAATTCTTATGGATATAGACATAAAAGTGGGATTACTAGATTAGATGGTAGTTCTATTTTTAATTTTTTGAGGCATCTCCCTACTGTTTTCCATAGCAGTTGCATCATTTTACATCCTGCTTTAAAGAAAACCACAGGCCCCAGATGGTGTCACTTAGGTTAAGGCCCCAAGCCAGTAAATCAAGACTTAATGTCTAACCAGACTACAGTTTCAACCACCTAGAAATGTAACCTTTAACTGGTCAACATGGGAATTTCCAGGTCCGTACTAGGAAATTTATTGATAGACCCATTCTATTCCCCATCGGAGGGCAACCTTGCCTACAGCAATGGATTCTTTGCTAATAATTTCCTTTTCTCCACTTCCTCTCTACCTTTAAAAACTTTTCCTTTTCTGTAGCCCTTTGGAGTTCCCTTCTACTTGCTAGATGGGATGCTGCCCAATCCATGAATTGATTAAGAAAACCAATTAGATCTTTAAAGTTTACTTGATTGAATTTTTTTGGTATTTAACAATCCTCACCAACAGTGCCCAGGTTTCCAATTTCTCTGCATCCCCATCAACACTTGCTGACTTCTGTGGTTTTGATAGTGGCTATCCCAATGGATGTGAGGTGATATGTCATTGTGGTTTTGATTTATGTTTATCTAATGGTTAGTGATATTATACATCTTTTCTTATGCTTGTTCATTATTTGTATATCTTTGGAGAAATGTCTATTCAAGTCCTTTGTCCACTTTTTAATCAGGTTACTTTTATTGTTCTTGTTGAGTTGTAGTTCTTTATATATTCTGGATATTAACCTCTTAACAGATACATGATTTGCAAATATTTTCTTCTTTCTGTTGACTGCTTTTTCACTTTGTTGATTATTTCCTCTGATGTGCAGACATTTTTAAGTTTGATGACGTTCGATTAGTCAATTTTTTTGTTACCTGTGCTTTTGGTGTCATATCTCCAAAAAATCACTGCCAAATCCAATGTCATGAAGCTTTTCCCTTATGTTTTCTTCTAGAATTTTTATAGTTTTAGGTTTTGTGTTTAGGTCTTTAATCCATTATGAGTTGGTATATGGTGTAAGGTAAGGGTCCAACTTCATTTTTTTGCGTGAGGATATCCAATTTTCCCGATACCATTTATTAAAGACACTAATCTTTCCCTGTTGTGTGGTCTTGGCACCTTTGCTGAAGATCATTTGGCTATGCAAGGGTTTATTTCTGGGCTCTCTATTCTGTCCCATTGGTTTCTATGTCTGTTTTTAAGCCCAAATGCATTTTTTTAATTAACATAGTTTTATAACATGTTTTGAAGTTGGGAAATATGAGGCCTCTAACTTTATTCTTTTTTGAGATTATTTTGCTATTTGGGGTCCTTTGAGATTCCAAATAAGTTTTTGGATTTTTTTCTATTTCTACAAAAAATGCCTTGGGATTTGATAGGGACTGCATCAGTTCTGTAGATCACTTTAGGTGGCATGGGACATATTAACCACATATAAAATCTTCCAATCCATAAACACAGGATTTAATTATGTCTTTCCATTTATTTATGTCTTCTTTAATTTCTTTCAGTAATGTTTTATAATTTTTGGTATATAAATCTTTTACCTCCATGCTTAAGTTTATTCCTAAGTATTTTATTATTTTGATACTATCATAAATGGAATTGTATTCTTAAATTCCTTTTCAGATCATTCATTGTCTGTATATAGAAATGTGACCAATTTTTGTGTATTGATTTTGTATCCTCCAACTTTGCTGAATTTGTTAGTCCTCCTTAAATTTAACACTGGAAATATAAACCTTTCATGGGGAATTTTATTTCATTTAAACTTTGCTGGATCATTATTTGGTAATACAATAGATGACATTCTCAGCCATTATTCTATAGAAAATAAAGAAACTTTTTTGTAGTCATGTCTTTTATTTATTCTTTCATTGACTGATATGAATTGAGTGCCTACATATTCCAGGCACCATGCTTGGATCTGGGTTTATACTGATAAATAAAGCATGCTTGGTGTCTGCCTCTTCGAGTAGATTCTAGTAACCAAACAAATAAAAACAATGACAAATTGTGATAAGAACTGTGAAGAAAATGGTCCAGGAGTCAAGTCAGGGACCATAGAGAGGTCTCTTTGGGGAGGTGACATGAAAGCTCAGGCCTGGAAGATGGAGACCACTGGTGAGGATGGGTGGGGAGGGACAGTGGGGCCACCATCAGGGGAGAGACCTCTTGTTTACAGGAGTTTCCAGAAACAAAAAGGAGGTAAATACAGCTTGAGTGTAGTAGGTGAGGAGAAAAAGAGGAGGTGGAGGTAGGAAAGGTCATGCCTTTTGCAAAGCCTGAGGAGGAATAATATTGGATTGTTGTTTAGCAAAGGAACATTCATAGGGTATTTCAAAGTCAATCGGTTGCTTTCTATATGCAGATGAGTGGATGGCTAGATGAGCCCTCTCCAATGTTTTACCATGCTCTCAACCATGCTCAGACAAAACAGAGCAATTCTTGGCTTGAACTCTCTGGGGAGCACCTAAACTATAGATGTGTTGTGTGATTGGGAGGAAAGAGATGCCAGGTGGTGAAAATGAAGGACCTAACTCATGTTCCTCCTCTATTAGAAAGCTCTCCCACGTGCCACGCAGTCAGAAAGTACAGTGAACATTGCAAAAGTCTTAACATGAGTCTGAACAGATTGCCAATGAAATGCAAGTAGAATAATTTTCAGTAATATAAAAATTGGGCCTAAAACTAACCCTCCAAGGAAAATGTATGTAGATACTCCATTTCTTGGTTTGTTGAGGAGAAATTTGGAAGAGAATTTGAGTATATCTAACAAGCTAATTTGCCTACTCTTTTGGGAAAAGTCATTTTTGCTCTCTTTCATTTTCTAAAAGGGGCTAACCATTGTTCCATATGGCCCCTGAGTTAACTAGTTGAATTAAGATAAAAGGAAACCATTATACTCAAGTTCTTCCAAAACTTTCCCACATGAGCCAATTGGATTAAATACGTTAGAGCATGTTCTGTAGAAAGAGAACTCATAGGTCATTTATGTAGGCTACTTACTGGGTTCAGTGGCCAAAGAAGGAAGAAGTGATACCAAACACTGTCCCCACACTGCACTCTATCCATACCTTCAAGGTGCTACCTTGTATGGTCTGGCCTCTCCCTGCGGGGTGGATGGGCAGGAGACTACTAGTCACTTTCCCTGGGTCATGATTCTTGATTGTTCTGTACCCTCACCTTCAGTTGCTTGTTCAACAGGTGAGTGTAAGGGACTGAATCAGATCTTAATGAGTCATCTCAATGAACAGGGTTGTGCATTGTGGTGATCATACCCTGGGGCTAGGGCTGTTTCCTTTCTGGTCCAACTCAGTTCCAAAGCAGGGCTTCCTTCCCTTCTTCTCCAAAGCTATTATTACAGATGTGGGGCTTCCTTCTCAATGATTCATTTACTACAAAGTTCTGCTCATTAAGAGGTAAAGGTACTTCTAGTTAGAGGAGATGGTGGCTAAGTATTTGCTCAACTGCTTTATCTTGCTTTTTTTGCTTAGTAAACCCAACAACCAAACCATTTTTGGGTCAAGTCATGGTGATCAGCACAAGATTCTTACTTTTGCTTTCTTTTCCTCATGGTTCAAGATGAAATATTCACAAATAGAATTTCAAGAAACTCCTTGTATAACCATACTTTGAAAAACTATCCTCTGAGGGTAACAACAGCTGAGGATTCATGTGGGGCCCTCTGGAAAGGACTGAGGCACACCATTACAGAAAAGTTACGGGGCACCTGGGTGGCTCAGTCGGTTAGGCATCCCACTCTTGATTTTGGCTCAGGTCATCCTGAGATCAAGCTCTGATTTGGGCTCCATGCTGGGTGTGGAGCCTGCTTAAGATTCTCTCTCTCCC